AGCAGGCTCAGACGGTCATGCAGTGCCACGAGGTGCCCACAGCGCCGGCCCCGCTTCGAACGGGAGAGCCGCCTCTCGATCTGCCGGGCCGCCCTACACTTCCAGGTTGAGAGCCTCGCCTCGATCGTGAGCGGCCGCTCTATCCGTGCAGCGGTCGCCCACTTGAAGATCTTCTTGAAACCGTTTGGGGAAATCTCGAGCGATATCTTCATCTTGAAAGAGACCTGTCCTCCATCAGCTTAGCAGCTTTACACTCACTCTTGAGCCGAAAGTGCGCGGCACGGAGGCGAGAGCCCCAGTCTGAATCTGATGGGCCCACGAGCCAGGCACTAAGCTTGAGCCAATATTACTTCTGGCATGCCCGCCACACTCTGGTGTGCCAGCGTGTGCCGTTCTATTATATGCCATGCTGTGCTCTGCCGTGCAGGGCGGACAGTGTGATTATTCGTCTGAGACTTTGCCACGATGCTCGCTGTCGCCATTACTACGGCCATCTGGTCCTCCTGGGCCTCCTGCAGCAAGCAACGGCGAACGTAGATAAGACATCGGGAATCTCACGCCGCTCCCTGTCTGGGTGGTGGGGGGTACGGCGCTACGTCTCTCGATGGCAGCGCCACTTTCAGGAATCCGACATCGAAGCACCCCGATCCCGCGCGCAGGCCGCTGGCGGAGAATGGGCTGAGGAGGACATCGACGGGAAGGATGAGCAGGAGGGGAGGAGGATGAGCAGGAGCAGGAGCAGGAGCAGGAGGAGGAGGAGGAGGAATATCTATAACAGGTGTGTATATATGCATGTACATGCACACACATTTATATATAGCCATTCATTTGTTTGCACGTACTTCTACATACATATATTTATAGACATCAGTACATACATACAAACATATAAATGTGTATATATATATAAAGAGATATAACAAAAAAGGATGATTATAATGATGATGATGATGAGGAGGAGGATGGGGAGGGCAGGTGGGCTGGAGGGAGGGAGGCAGGCAGGGAGGGAGGGAGGCAGGGAGGAAGGGAGAGAGGGACGAGGAGGAGGCGGAGGAGGAGGATTATCTATACTATGTAGTATATTTATGTACACATATATATGGATATATTTAGTTATAACGTAGGTATGCTTCTTTGCGTATTTATCAAACTAATAATATATATACACATCTATACATGTTTGCGTCTACATATATTATATATACATATGTATATCTGTATATAGAGAGAAAGAGAGCGAGAGAGAGAGAGAAAACAACACAAAATAGGAGGATGATGATGATGATGAGGAGGAGGAGGAGTAGGAGGAGGAGGAGGAGGAGGGAGGAGGAGGAGGAGAAGGGCGAGTAAAATGGGATGGGGATGGGGCAGGACCTTCGAGGAGCCCCAGAGGCTTCGGGGAGCGCGGCGACGGTCGCGGGGGGGCCGTCGCCCCTGCGGTGCCATCACTGTTCCCACTGCTGCTGCCACTGCTGCTGCCACCATTGCTGCCGCTGAAGCTACCCCTGCTGCGACCACTAATGCGAGCACTACTGCTACCGCTGCGGCCACTGCTGCGGCTGCTGCTGATGCCACCACTGCTGCCACAGCTACCACCGCTGCCGCCGCCGCTGCTGCCATTCTTGCTGCCACGACGGCCACCACCACCACCCCTCCACCCACGGTGTCGGCGTGCCCGCTTCCCCGCCGCCGGCGTCAGCCCCGCCGAGGCCCGCAGGGGTACCCGGAGACGTGGCCCGAGGACGCCTCTGGTGGCTGCCACGCAGGCGGGCGGAGAAGGAGGAGGAGGAGGAGCCGGGAGGGCGTGGCGAGGAGGAGTCCATTCGGGACGATCGAGATGGGTACGGCAAGATTGGGGACGAAGACCGATACCAGTCCTTGTCCATTCCGAACATGACTCGCCTGCTCAACAGCGGCCGCTGCCGGTCTTGGACAGCGTCTGCTGGTGGGCACGATGCGATTTTTTCCCATACCCTTGTCGGGCGTGGCAATTGTCAATCACCGCCGCGTGACGGAGACCAGCGCTGGCGGGGGTTTGAGATTTCTTCCGATCCCTCCTGGCTGGCCCAGGCTCGGGAGCCGTGTGGAGCCGATCCCTCCTCCCCTCCCATTCTACGATCCGGGCTTGGGAGCCACTGTGCGGCGGGTCGGGGTTCGCGACATGGCCTTGGCTGCCCTGGGTTAGCGCTGACCAAGTTTAGCGCGTCCCCGATCCCCAAGTACAGTCAGCCCGCATAGTGTCGTGGAGGACAATCAATGGAGAGGAAGCATGTTGCCGAATAGTTTCCAGATGTCGAACACATGTGTTAAACATGTTTTAAACATGTAACACATGTTTAAAACATGTTTAGAACATTTTCCGACATTTTAAACACATTTTAAATTCAATGATCGGACTGTTAGGGTGCCCATCGTCGTGGCATCCACAAGCATAGTGAGGATGGGCAACCTTCCCAAGGGTACCCTTGTATACTTGCCTCCTCGGTCCATCCTTGGCCACTGCCGTTGGCCGCGCCCCGCTGGGCCCCTGCCTCATGCCAGAACCCGGCCCCCTGGAGAAGAACACGCCTGCGGTCGGCGCCCGGGCCCCGCCCCCCCTCCCCCGCCAGCTCCGGGAGCCCCGTGCGTGGTCGGCAGGGGGCGCCCACGATCCACCTGCACCCGCCTCGGCCCTCGGCCGATCCCGGGGCCCTGGGGCCGAGGCCGGGGTGCGGACTCGGGTCGGACGACGAGGGGGGGGAATATCGGCGTCACCCCAACATGCTTATACTCTATGTGCGTCGCCCCCCCAGCGGCGACGCGCGCGCCGAGAACTCTTGCAGTGTGTGCGTCGTGGCGGGCGCTTTCTGGCTACACCGCTCGGGAAACGATATCGATGGGTATACTATGTGTTCGGGTCGGACGCGCGCCTCCAAGGAGGACATATGGTATTAGTATGTCCCTGTGCTTCCCAGGACACACGCCGGTCGTTTCAAATAGGTATTTTTGGATTCCCAGGTCCCAATCTACTTCTAGCGCCTTCCTCTTTCGAGAGTCGATCTGCGTTTGCTACGTTCTGTGATTCTCTGGGAGGGCCTGGACCCAATCTGCTTCATCCGCCTTCCTACTTCATGTTTTTACCTACTTCTCCCGACTGGCGTGTACGGAGAGGGGGCGTTGCGAAATCAGTTGGCTGCACGCAGCGGGCTTCGGCCTCGCCGGCGGGCGATTTCCTCCGGTGCATCGGCGCCAGGAGGCGCCGTGAGAAACAGCACGTTGCGCTGATCCATCCCCCCTCTTTGTTATCCCCCTTTCTTCGTCCGCCCTGGTAGACGGGCGTGCCCACCGATTCCGTGCCCAGGATTGGCCTGGCCCCAGCCGGTGCAGGCGGACATGGCGTCCCGCGAAGAGGGGCCGGGTGTTGCCCAAGGTGTCCGTGGCTCACGCCCCCGGGGCTTCAGGGGAACGCAGGTGGCTTAGAAAGTCAGGAGGCCCCAGGGGCTCCAAAGTGGCGCGAGAGGCTGGGGACACCTTGGGCCAGCGGCATCTTTGTGGCGGCGCGAAGAGGGGGGTATGGGCACGGGGGAATGCTCCTTGGAAGGCGGCTGCTCCTTAGAACGGCGCGGGCCTTGTCTGTAGATGCAAGGCCGGCGCCTCCTGAGTGGCAGCCTGCTTCGAAGATGCCTTCCCCCCTCTCCGTGCCCCCTCTGTGCGCGCCGACATGCCGAAATCCGACGTCCTGCTCTTGCCGCAGCGCTCCCCAGGGGGGTCTGGCTCTCACCCCTTGGACGGGCTTGGCACCCCGAGCCACTCTTCGACCGCCCTGGGGGCCCGTGAAGGCCCCCAGGGCCCCAGGGTCAAGTCGTGCCTGTCCTTCTGCAGGAGGAAAAATTCAAAGTTAATCAACACATAGTCTGGGGAGGACCTTTCGATTATTTTTTGACCATTCCATTTCATTTTTTTTTTTTTTTTTTGTTTTTGCGTTTTGTTGGTTTCCGTGCAGAGGTCCGCCTGTATGGGGGACGTGCCTGACCTAACCCCCGGGGCTGGAAGTTGCGAGCGTCATCCCGGCGTGCTTTTTCCACGGCGCGGGAAGGGCGGGTGGGCAGCAGGGGCGCCCCGCGTGCAGGCGCCCAGCAGGGCGAGCCCTGGCCGTCTGGGGGCGGCGCCCGCGGCTGCCCCGCCCCGCCCGCTGGTGACGACGACGGCGCCGCCGCGGCCGGAGACGCGGCGGAGTCGCAGGTGGAGCATATGGAGGCGCAGGACGGCCTCCCGAACGCTTGTTGAGCTCGGCTCGGCGAGGCGCAGGAGTGACCGGTCGCTGGCGTGACTTTAAAATGCGGGCCCACGGGGGTCCGACAGCAGCGGCCTGCGCGCTTGGGTCTGTCCCGCCCCCCCCCCCCCCCCCGACGCCCCCTCCGCGCGCCCCCCAAACCGCGCACCAAAGGTCACCCCTGCCTGGGGTCATTCCGCGCGTGTGGCCGATGACGGCGGCGAGGGAGGAGGGAGGAGGGAGGAGGGAGGAGGGAGGAGGGAGGAGGGTGGAGGGAGGAGGGAGGAGGGAGGAGGGAGGAGGGAGGAGGGATCGAGGATCCTGGGCAGCATTCTTTGCTCCTTTTGAGGGCCTCCTGGGGCGTTCTCTGGTCGCCACGGCTGGGTCCGCCTCGAACTCTGGCCAGAGCTCAGGAGGGAACAAGAACACACACAGGCACAATGAATCGTCGACTCCCCAGAGAATTATGGGAAAATATGGGAAGTGGGAGGCAAGGCAAAAACACAGAAAATATGGGAAATATAGGGAATCCTGGGCCCCTTCGCTCTGGCCAGAGCGCATCCCAGGAGAGGCCTTCGTCACGGGATGGTCGAGCCGGCCGTTTTTTTTGCAGTTCGTTGGCCTTTGTGGGGGTGCAGTTGCGGGTCCTGGGGCAACGGCCCGCCCTTCCATCGGGCCTGAGATTCTCTTGACGAGCTGTGAAGAGAGGGCTGTTCGGTTAAGAAGTGACGAGTGCATGTGGCGCGAGGGGGGGGGCTGAACCAGGTCCCAAGCGCGTCGTGGGCGGCGTAAGGCGTCCCCACCGCTTGCGCCATCATGCTGTCGTTGCTCTTGGATGGTCGGATCGGAAATTCCAGCACTTGCCACCACGAACTCTTGACGCTATGCGTATCCGGTCCAACCCATCCAGACACGATCGGAGTCTTTCTTGAGCCATGTTCGGCTAGAGGCTGTTGGAGGCTATCCTGAGTTTCGGGGCTCTCTGAGGGCACCCTGTGGGGCCTCTTGGGTCACTCTTGGGGCCCTCTTGCGGTTCATTTTGGGGGTCTCGGGGCCCTCTTGGGGCTCTCAGGGTTGGGTTTCTTGCGGAAGATTTCTTGGGGTCGGGCCTCCTTTGTGTACATAGATCTCGTCACCCAGTGAGGGATGAGGGGGGAGCGCCTGCTCGTTCAGAGGCGCATGGCTTGGGGGCGGGGGCGCGGGGCAGCAAGTCTGAGCGCCGAGCTCGCGCGCGCAGGTCTTCGGCCCCAGCAAGTCTGAGCGCCGAGCTCGCGCGCGCAGGTCTTCGGCCCCTGTGCCACGTGGCTCGTCTCTTGGGGGGGCCCTTGTCGGGTGCGACCAAGGGGGGGGTGATGATTAGGGGGTTGGATATCATGGCGTGGCCCATGATATTTCTTCAGATTGCATTGCGCCTCTTGTTATTGAATCGCTTCGCTCATTCCGCCGGCCCGTGATATGGCATCGCTGGTTTTTGTCTGTGTGTTCGTTGCCCATGTTGCGCTCTTGGGGGCGGGTGTCGTTCGGACGCGTTGCGTGGGGAGTTTTGATGGTGAAGCAGTTCCCTGGGGGTCGTCTCTCGATGGGGCGAAATAGAGTCGTCGTCAAGATGCTTCTTTGGGGGGCCTCTTGGGGTCTGTTGAGAGGCCGTTCGGGGGCGCCTGGGAGACATGTTTGAAGCCTTCTGGGGCTTCTTTTGGGCCTCCTGGGAGTCTCCTGGGGCCTCTTGGCGACATCTTGGGGCCTCTTGGAGGCCTCTTGGGGCCTCTTTGGGACCTCCTGGGCGCCTTCTGGGACGGAGGGCTCCATTTTTGAGTTCTCGGTATCCCTCCTGAGTCCCTCTTGGGCCCGTCTTGGGGCCTCTTGGTCCGTCTTGGGCGGCACTTGGGCCGTCTTGAGGGCTCTCTTGGGTCGTTTCGGCGCCGTCTTGGGAGCTTCGTGGGCCGTCTTGGAGCGGTCTTGGGGGCCTCTTGGGCCGTCTTGGAGCGTCCGGAAGCCGAAAAAGCCAGAACACAAAAAACATAGAAAAAACCAATGAAAATCAACGATTTTGGCCTCTTGGGGCTCTCTTCGGAGGCCTCTTGGAAGGCTCTTGGGGCGTCTTGGAGGCCTCTTGGGCTGTCTTGGGGGCCTTTTGGGCCGTCTTGGGGTCATCTTCGGCGTCTTCGAGCGCTCTTTGGGCGTCTCGGGGGCCTCTTGGGCAGTCTTGGGGGCCTCTTGGGGCACTCTGAGCGCGCTCTGGGGAGCCTGAGAGGCCGCACCCAGAAGGAAAACCATCTCTGAGTAGACTGGTCGGGCGGCGGTCGGGCGGCGGTCGGGCGGCGACCGGGCGGCGACCGGGCGTTGGTCGGGGTACTTTTCGCCGGGGGACCCCCAGGGGCCGCCCCGCGCGCGCGAACTAGAAATACTGTTAATACTGTTAACCAGTTACCGGAGATCTTAGCACGCCCTGGCCCGTTGGGCCGGCGAACTTCATTACGTCTCTGGCCCCCCACCTGGGCCGCGCGCGTGCCGCCGGCCATGATTTGCGCCCCCCCCTCTTGGACGCCCCCCTCTTGGCCGCCCCCGACCTTGGTGTTCGCCGACAAGCGGACCCCCCGTCCGGGCCAGGGCGCTCGGATGCCGTCCCTCCTGCGTGTCGGGGGTGTCCCACGGAGGTGCGCGGCCGATTGTCGTGGTTGGGGTCCTGGGGTTTCTGCGGTTCTCATGGGCCGGTCTTCTCCTTGCAGTGCCCTGGACCCCCATCGCCCGCGTACACGCCTCGGGCCACGGTGCGCTGACCCCCATCTCTTCCTGGCCCCCTCTTCGGCGCACCCGAGTGCAGTGCCGAGATGGAGGGGGCTAGCAACGGTGTGCGCGGTTCGGTCGGTTCGGCTGCTTTGCGGTCGGCTGCGTTCGGTCCGTCGGTTTCGCTCGGTTTCGGTTTCGTTGCAGGTTCGTTCGGTTTTCGGTTGTGTGTTTTACCGTTGGCGCGTGTGGGAGGGGTGGGGACAGAAACTCAAGGACGGACTTTTGCGATACTTTTTGGCGTCTGGATGCCGTTTTAGGGCCCCGCGGCCGTCGGAAATCGATATGGGGCGAGATGTCTGGATGGACCTCAGAAAGGGGTCGGGGTATTGATCTTGAGTCCATTTTATGGACAATGTCCGGTTCCATCGCGGTCTGGATACCGATGCGCGATCCCATGGATGTGCGATCCCATGGACGCGTTCTGTGCGGGGCATCCCCACAGCGCCGCCCTGGATACAGATGGGGTCGCGGCCGAGGAGACCAGGATGCGAGGCCCCAGATATGGATATGGCCCCAGATGAACCCTCTGATTCCATTTGTGGCGCCCTCTTATTTCAAAGATCCAGTGGTTTTCCCTCTTCCTTCGTCTCAGGCGGGGAGGGAGGGGAGGGTGGGAGAGGGAAGAGTTTGGGGGCAAGTGGGTCCGCGACGCGGTTCGGTCGGCTGCGTCGGAGTCGGCTGTGTTTGGTTGCATCGGTTCGGTCGGTCTCGATCTTCGCGGTCGCTTCGGTCGGTTTCGGTGTTGCTGTCGCCGTGGGCGTCTTCGGGGGGAAGGGTCTGTGGGGGAGGGGGCATGCTGCTGGGGCGGAGGGGTGGAGTCAGGGAAGAGCAGCGCGGGGGCGACAGCGCGAGAAGCGTTGGCCTCCCGCTCCGTGCGAGGAGTTTGAGGTGAGGAACACGTTCGTGGAGGCCGCGTCCGACAGAGAGGACCGTGCTGCTGGCCCCGGCCCTCCCTCTCGTGCTGCTTCATGCTCTCCCCCCCCTCTCTCCTCTTCACTGCCTCTCGCCGTCGTCGTTCGTGGATTTTCGGCGATCCGTGTATCCCCACCAATTCGCCCTTCCTCTTCCCTTGCGCTAATTTAGGCTGTTGCTAGTCTGCACCGCCCTTTGACGCCGCCCGAACTTTTCTTCGCCGCGGTCGCGATCAAAAAAGTATCCCCACCAGTCCATCCAGAAACGATCGCCAGGCGAGTTGCCCTGATCAGGGAAGTACAGGGGCACGCAGTGAAGCACAGAGGTGAGGCAGCCATCGAGCCGAAGTCGGGATCAGCCTGAGAATGCTCAGGAGTGGCACTGCTGAGCACGCCGTCGAAGGAGGAGGCGGATGAGAAAGTTGAGAAGGAGGAGGTGGAGGACGGAGGACGCCCTGGGGGCTCACGTATAATGCGCAGGCCTCCGCGCACGAAGCCGTAAGTTGCATCACTCGAGTTCTGATTGGGCCATCTTGGAGGACGTCGATCAAAGAAGGGGGCGGCGCCGCTTAGCAATGCCCATGTGGAGCACGACTGATCGTGTCTCGAGCTCTTTTGGGGCGCTTTTGGGGCTCGCTTGGGGGCCCTCTGGGCCGTCTTGGACTTCTTCTGGGCCCCTCTCGGGGCTCTCTTGGGCGACCCTGCGGCCATCTGGGGGCCTCAGAGGCCTCTCAGAGGGGAAGCGGCGAAAGGGCCCCTGCCCCACATGCCACTGAGGCACCTGAGGTTTTCGAGGATCTTGGCCTCTCGGGAGTATCCTTCAGAGGCTCAGTGGCCACCTGAGGCGGTCTTGGGGTCTCTTGGAGGCACTGTTGGGGGTCATCGTGTCCCATCTTGCTCCGTCTTGCTCCATGCTGGGGGTAATGTTGGGGGTTATCTTGCTCCATCTCGGGTCATCTTGCGCCATCTTGGAGCTCATCTTGGACTGTCCAGGGCCATCATTTGTCATCTTGGACGCTCTAGCACCTCGGTCCCTCCCCGTCCAGTCCCAAGTGATGGGGTAGGGTGGGGTCAAGTTCCCAACGGAGCGCCACCAGCTGTCTCGCTCACTTCCACCCGCCCTCCCACCATACGAGCAAATGGCACCCGAGGCTCAGCACTGGCAGAGGTCGCAGTCGGACGGACAGCTATCGGGAACCAACGCAGACGCCATGTGCTCGACGACGCTCGCGAGGTGCGCCACGCGCACCAGTTGCACCATACGCACTTGACCCAAGGGCCCCAGCGTCCCAGGCGCGCCTGGGGCGCCAGTTGTGCCACTTGCGCCAAGTGCGTCACATGCTCCAGCCGCGCCGTGTGCGCGACGCGCGTCGAGTGAAGCGTTCAGCGATAGCCCCACTTTGAGATGGATCTGCTCTCCATCCATGAAGGCGTCGCGCAATTCTAAATATTATGATCATGTTATCAAGCGAGGGTCCCATTTTGAAACGGAGCCCCCCCCCCCAAGTGTCACTGTAGTGCAGTTCGGAGTGTCAGGTCATAAACTTCGATGAAGTCTCAAGGTGTCGCCGTATTTTGAAAACGAACCGGTCTCCATCCTTGCAATTGTTGGGAACTTACGAAGTGGGAATGTGCGCGGCGCTGTGTCGAGAGCTGCATTTTGCAAACGATCGGCCTTCCACCTGTGTAACGGTTCGAAGTTTGCAAGTGAATATGCGCAGCGCTAAGGCAAGAGTCGCATTTCGAGAAAGCTGTGTACTGGGTGGGGTCTGTTAGTTCCAGGATAACAAGCTGTAAGGAAATCTCATGCGAGACGCCCGGCCCGGCCTACGGACAAGGCTGGTGGTGCGACAGAGGGGAAGTTCTTTTGTAATTAAGGGAGGTGGCGGAGGAGGACGACGAGGAGAAACATCCATTTTGGCTCTTGAGTTTTCACTTTTGAAGAGTACTTGCTGTTGATCACCCACCTGTGCCCATTCTGTTTTTCAATTGAAGTGCCCCCCCCCTGGGGCTCGCACATTTTTTTTTGTATCAGGGGAAGGCTTGAGGCTCAAACCGTGTTGTTGGCCCACGGTTCGCAACAACAGCGGCTCCCGCCTGGTACTTCGTCCCAATCTATTCAGGAATCGCGACTTCGATCGAGACTTCCCCACAATGTGTTTAGGACTCGCGCTCTCGCTTAGGACTTCTGGCAATTCACTGAGGCGCCGCGCTCTCGACGTCAAGCAATCGCACTCTCGCACGAGACCTCCTCACATTGTACTCGGGTCTCGTGCTTTCGCCCAGGGCTTCTTCAGAATTAGGGGAATTCGCTTCGATGCCTGGCCCGCCCAACCCGCCCGTTGGGCCGCCCGCCCGCCCGACCCGCCCGTTAGGGTCCGCCCGCCCGACCCGCCCGTCAGGGTCTTTCCGCCCGACCTGCCCGTGAGGGTCCGGCTTTTCGCGTGCCTGGAGGCCCGCCCGCCCACTTTGATGCACCGCCCGTCCGACACGCCCGTGAGCGTCCGCCCGCCAGACACCGTCGTTAGGGCCGGTTTGCCCGTCAGGGTCCGCCAAAATCATTCAAGAGGATTATGTCATTCCGCCGACCCTTAGAAGAGGCGTGGAGTCCAGGGTTGAGGCGTCGTGGGCTTCTTGGGCACTACGTGGGGACTCTTGTGTGCATCTTAGGAGCTTTTTGGGGGCCTGGCGGAGCCTCTAGTAGGCAGTTTTGAAGCGTGTTGGGGGCCGCCTTGGGGCCTCTTCTTGGCCTCGGGCCTCTTCGGCCGCTTCGGGGCTTCTTGGGGCCTTTGGGGGGCTTCTTGGGGCGGAGAGATAGGATGTTCGGCTCTCTCTCTCTCTCTCTTCGCCTCTCTTGGTGCCCTCTTGGCGCGATCTTTGGCCGTCTTGGGTCCCTTTTTTGGCCGTCTTGGAACCCTCTTGGGCTGTCCTGGGGCCCTCGTAGGGGCCTACGGGGCCTCTTGGGTCGTCCCAAAGCGTCTGGAGCTCGTGAAGACGATAACCTCAGAAACAATGAACATCCAACGGGAAACCATTGCTTTTTGCCTTTCGGGGCCCTCTTGGGAAGGCTCTTGGGGCGTCTCGAAGGCGTCTGAAGGCGTCTTGGGGCGCTTGCCAGAATGATTGCTTCTCTCGACCCCCTCCTGCTAAATCTTCTGTGCCCTCAATCCTCCTCTTTTCCTCTTGCCCCCCCTCCCTTCTCGTTTCCGTTTCCTTTCATCACTCTCTTTATTGTTCTTCTTATTTTAGGGGCCGCGCGAACTACACGCGACAGACAAGGAAGATATACCCCTAAAAGGAGTACGATCGACGACGAAGAGGGTGTGTGTGTGTGTGTGTCGAGGGTTTGGGGTATACATGTTGAGCGACACGCCAGCAACGAAGAGCGAGCAGTCCGAACATGATGTTGGTTGTTATTTAATCGCTTCGCTCATTCTGCCAGCGCATATATCATGGCGCCAACATCGCAGAGAGGATTTCGTTCGGAAAGCAATCGGATGGGCCCGGATTGTCCTGGAGAATTCCATTCCGGATCTCGAAGTGCATTTCGTGTGTTTTTTATGGCCAGGAATGAAGACTCTAAACACAAGCCACGTCAAATCCACATCGTTTTTCGCTCGCCGTGCCCGGATGGTGCGTTGACAAAACTCTCGCAGGCCTAGAGGTTGACACCAACATCAATATCGGCGGTGTGCCTCCACCGAGGGAAGAAAATCCCGATCTGGGTAATGGTGTCAATATTCTGGCTTCCAAGGTGGCCGAACTACTGCCACCAGCACCGAACTCTAGGACCATCTTCCCCCTGCGGAGGCAGCCCCCTGCGTTGGCGTTGGTGCCCATTTCCAGGCCTCCCGAAATCCCCGCTGCAAGCGCGTCTGCAAGGCCGGTGCAGTGACAGGTCCTGGCACTCGCCCAGCAGAGGAGCCGACGAGCCTGCCGTTCGCCACGGCTTCCTCGCTCCGTCGGCCGCGCGTCCGGAGGGCCTGCCGCGCCTCGGCCCGGGCGAGAGGAGCCCACGCGCGGAGTCCTTGGCGTTCCGCTCGCTCGTGCGCGGACCGTCTGGGCGGGATGGACGGGAGGAGGTGGGAGGTTCAGTGCCGTGGGGGCGCGCATCAAGAAGCCATGTGTTTTTCGTCAGGGTATCCTGGGTCGTTTCGCTCCTCGCGCTGCGCGGTGACTTCCCGCAGCCGTTGAAGGAGCTGCTGCGTTCAGGGTGCTCTGGGTTTCCCCTCAGGTGCACCTCGCGCACGGGTTCTCAGGGTTGGGTTTCTTGCGAGGGTTTCTCGCGGCCGCGCCCGCACTGTATCGTTTAGCCGATGCCCACCCCCATCCCCATGCCCATCCCGATTCCCAGATTCCCACCAGCTCACTGCCCCAGTTGGGGATATGCCCCTCGAAGCCCGAAAGGAGCAGCCTATATCCCTCAGATAGGGGTATGGATCGGCCAGTGGGACCCAGCCCACGCTGGTGGGGATGGGGATCGGTTAAACGATACTCAGAGATGGCACTGCCGAGAGGAATCCTAACCTCTAAGAGAGACCCCCGCCACGTTCAGCAAGGTCGACCCCCCCCACGACCCCTCACCCCCGGGTGGGGCCCTCTTGGGGGCCTCTTGGGCCGTCTAGGGGCGATATCGTGGGTTTAATCTTTCATACCCCTGCGGGTTGTCAATGATTTTGGCGTCTCAGGGCCTCCTTGGATGCTATCCGGGAGCGCTCTTGGAGTGTTTTGGAAGCCCCTTGGACCGTGAAGAAACCATCTTGGACGTCTTGGAACGCTCTTGGGCTGTGTCGGACCCTCTTTGGCGCTCCTGCGAGCCCCGGGGAACACTCCCGGAGCGCTCTTGGGGGTTGTGACGGGCGCGCCCAGACCAGAAACCATTTCTGATCGAGTCTGGCGCGCTAAGCCGGGGGTGCTGTTCGTCGGGGGGCCCCAGGGGGACGCCCCGCACGCGCGATCTGGTAAGTGTGCAAACGCTCGGAGCCTTATCAGAGATCTTGACACGCCTCTGGCTCGCTGCTGGCGAATCATTGCATGCCTCTTGGGGACCCCTCGTCGCCACGGTTAATTTGTCCTCAGACTTCTGGTCAGAAAATACCCTGGAGGAGGTCGGATGATCGACACCATGACCTTCGTTGAGGCTCAGACCACCCGATAAGCTCTTTGCGGCGCGCAGAGTTGCCCATCGTGTCGGCCTTCCAGTGCACGTGGGGGGGACCATGCAGCCATACGTTGTTGTTCATGATGATGATGATGACGATGATGATGACGATGCTGATGCTGATGCTGATGCTGATGCTGACGCTGATGATGATGATGGTGGTGATGATGATGCTGATGATGATGTTATTGATGATGATGAAGATGAGGATGGAGATGATGGTGATCATGATGATGATGATGATGGTGATGACCATGTGGATGATGATGCTGCTGCTGATCATGATGATGCTGATGATTATGGTGATGATGATGATGATCATGATGACGATTATGCTGCTGATGACGATGCTGGTGATGATGATGTTGATGATGATGCTGCTGATGATGCCTCTGATATGATGATGCTGGTGCTGGTGATGATGAAGCTGATGCTGATGCTGCTGCTGATGATGATGATGATGATGATGATGATGATGATGATGATGCTGCCGCTGCTGTAGACTCAGGCGATCGCAAACATGGATCAAGGTGGCGTGGATTAGCGACGGGTCCCGTTTCCATGAAGAAGCCTGGGTCTTCGCTGCCGAGCGAGGCGGCACCGGCCGCACTTTGGGGAGGAGAGGTCACCCGATCCATGGATTGGGCGACCGCGCGCCAGATCCGTGGATCGCTAATCCATGCTTGCGCGCCCCCGATGTTAGACGCACGCGGGGTGAGCGCGGGCGCCCAGCAGCCGCGCGGCCCGCTCGGCGGAGCGGTGCTCTCCGTGCCTCGCGCTGGGGGCGGGCGGGCCCTCGTGTCGCTTGCGCGGCCCCGCGGCCCCGCGGCCGCCCCGCGGCGGAGGAGAGAGCGCTCAAGTCCTGGGCGTTCAACTTCAACTCTGTCCCTCCCCTAGCTGCCTCCAATCTCGTGATGCTCCAACCTTCTTTAGCCTTGATCGCCAGAGAAATTTCGGGCGCCAAGAAAGTACCGAAACTCGAGGGTTTTCGTGTGTCGGGCCCTGCGACACACTCGTTCGACACTGTTTCGACGCTGCTTCGACACTTTTCCAGGTGCTCGAAACTACTCTGGGATTTGGTCTTTAAGTACGATGGGAGCAACATAATTCCAGTCTTAATCCGTGTTTTGGCAATTTTGATTTTTTGCACAACTTTTATTTTTCCGTCTAAAACCCCCCTGTAGGAGGACCTGCCCGATCTAACTCCAATCGGGCCAGGCGAGAAAGGGCACTCCGGGTTTCTCAACAAGCGTGGGGGGGTACCCCCCCGACGGGGGTCAGCCTCGCCTCGTCGTCGCGCCGCGACGGGGGTCGGAGCGCCTTCGGCGCGCGGTGGCTGCCCGCGACGGGGGTCGACGGGTGGCCGTCGGCGGGGGTGACGCCCCCCCCCTCCACGCTGATGGAGAACCCTAGGGTAGGATGGGGAACGGGGGGGTGACGAAATCTGCTGCGTGCAGCTGGTTTCCCCTCCGCCGCCAGGCCCACTCTTCGATACATGGGCGCCTCCCAGCGCCAGGAGGCGCCAGGAAAACCAGCTGCGTGAGCTGATTCTCTACCCTGCCCTTTGTTATCCTACCCTTTTGTGCCCCCCGATCCAATCCGCTGATCAGCCTCGATCTTCCGACCACCGTCGCCGGCTGGTTTTTGGAAGAAATTTTCGGACGTATCCGTGAGTTTTTGGAGGTTTTCCAGCCTCGGGGTGCTCTAGCTGCGCCTCGCCGAGAGCGTCCTGGGGTTGCCCAGATCGTCCCGATCGGCCGCTAGAGGCCCGAGTTGCATCCCGAAAACCTGACATCTTCGCGCCGTTCAAAATTACGACGGTAGCTTTTTTGGCAATTCTTCACGCTTCGCGTATCCCCACCAGCCCATTCAGACACCATGCCCATGAGAGCGGACGGGTAAAGGGAAGAAGAGACACATGTAGTGAAACAAAGCATGATGGGACTATCAAAGGAATACCAGAACATGCAATCAAATGGCATATTCAATTATAATGGGAGCTCTCTTAGGGCTCTTTGGGTTCTTCCTTGGGTGCTCTTGGGGCCGTCTTGGGGGCCTCTTGGACCCCTCTTGGACCCCTCTTGGAGCTTTCTTGGGTCATCTTGGGGCCATGTTGAGGCCGCAAAAGCGCATCGGAAGCGAAAAGGCGAGAAGGCGCAAATCATGGATTTTCCGTAAGTTTTTGAAAGATTTCGGCTTTCGGGGGGGCGCCGAGGGAGCTCTGAGAGCACCCTCTTGGGGCCTCTTGGAAGCATGTTGTTAGTTTTCTTGAGCCATGCTGGGCTATCTCGAGTGATCTTAGAGGCTATCTTGGGCTCTCTGAGGCCATCTTGGAGCCATCTTGACATGAAAGGGGCCCTCTGCCACCTCGCGAACCCCCCCGTCCAGGTCCAGGAGAGGGGGTAGGGGGAGGGGTAAACCCCTCCCCGAAGGGGAAGAGGGGGTTTTGGAAGAGGGAAGAAAGACATCGTTAGACCACCTGCGCGCAAATGGCTGGTGGGACTTGCGGCCTCCAGTTGCCCTCACTGTGCCCCGGGGCCGCCAAGAAGCTGCTCAGGACGACGAGTTAGTCCTCAGGATTGGGTCCCGACCAATGTCGGCTATACGTAGTAGTGATCTTTCGCCAGAGTGACCTATGGCGCGGACACACTGGGGCCCCTAAGCGGCTGAACGCGATTTCATAGCAGCGGCTTACGCGCTCGGGTTGGGCACTCCCGCGCCACCCGAAAGTCTCGCACCAAAGGTCACTCTTCCCTTAGAATCACTCTTGCGAGTTGCCGACGAGCCCGTGGAGAACCGCGCTTTGAAAAAGCACAGCGTCGGATGTCTGGGGTCAATCCCTCGTCGGTGCGGCAAGGGCATCGGCAGTGGCGGCGGCCGCCTCGGCGGCGGCAGAGCGAGTTCGGGGATGATGATGATGATGAGGAGGAGGAGGAGGGGGAGGAGGAGGAAAACGAGGAGGAGGAGGAGGGATGAGGAGGGAGAACGGGTGAGTCAGGGAGGAGACAAGGAACTACTGACGATGATGCTATGTTGTTGTTGTCGTTGTTGTTGTTGTTGTTGTTGTTGTTGTTGTTGTTGTTGTTGTTGAATATTATTACTTCTAAAGATAATTATTGTTGGGCCCCCTGGTGCACGCCCCCCTCGCCGCGCCTAGGCCGCAGCCACATTTTCATCATTTTCGTGAGGACGTCTCAGGCAAAACGGGGGAGTCCGGATCCGGTTGTTTTGTTGACGCCCGCTTTCCCTGTCAAAAACAATATAAAATGACATGTCTTGTTCTAACATAACCAAACTTCAAGAATCCTTTGCAAAAAATGACACGAAGTGCACACTCGCGCGCGCAAGATGAAATCCTTCCAAAACCTTAGTTTTCGTAGCGATTTTAACATAAAAACATGAAAAACCCAATGGTTTTTCAAAAAAAAAGTTTCAAAATTTCATCCCGCGCGCTCTTGCGGATTTCTTAGGAAACCCAATACTTTTTCAACATTTCTGTCAAACGGGCTTTTGCGAGCAACTTTTTCGAACTTCTGCAACAACGGTTGCGCACCTGCCAGGGCCATCATCCCTGTCAAATAATACCATGCGGGACACATTCGTTTTTTCTTCGCGCGCGCACGCCGTCGTCGTCGGCCGCGGGGCCCTGAATAGTAGCCACGGTCGTCCGCATGCCACGAAGTGAAGTGTCCGAACGTCATAGGGCGGGAAGCTGGGTGTGGGTGGTGGCGAAGAGTCGTTTGGAAATTTGGTAGAGCTTGAACCGTCCCCCCCACAAAGTGGGGGTATTGCCCGCCTCCTATGAAAACCCTGGCACTGGTGAGAACGGAGTGTCCCCACGTGCTAGTAATTGTTGTTGTTGTTGTTGTTGTTGTTGCTGCTGTTGTTGTTGTTGTTTGCTGTTTGTTGTTGTTGTTGTGGTTGTTGTTGTTGTTGTTGTTGTTGTTGTTGTTGTTGTTGTTTTTGATGGCGATGATGATGCTGCTGATGATACTGCTGATGTTGTTGTTTTTGTTGGGATTGTTGTTTTTTGTTGTTATTGTTGTTGTGTTGTTGTGTTATTGTTGTTACTGCGGCTGTTGTTGTTGGTGATGCTGGTTATGTTGATGATGAATATGTTGATGTTGTTACTGTTGTTGTTGATGATGCTGATGCTGCCGCTAATGATGATGCTAATGACGACGATGATGATGCTGCGGATGATGAAGATTACGATGCCGCTGATGATGCTGACGATGATGATGATGATAAGGATGATGACGACGCTGACGATAATGACGATACTTACTTTGATGCTGCTGCTGATGCTGCTGCTGATGTTGATGATGACGATGGTGATGCCGATGAGGATGATGATGCTGATGATGATCATGCTGCTGCTGATGATGATGCTCATGATGGTGATGCTGATGATGCTGCTGATGGTGATGCTGCTGATGATGATGCTGAACATGCTGGCGATGATGCTGATGAGGATGATGATGCTGATATTGATGATGACGACGCTGATGATGTTGATGATGCGGATGCTGATGCTGCTGATGATCATGACGATGATAGTGATGCTGCTGCTGATGATGATGACGCTGATGACGATGACGATGACGATGATGATGATGATGATGATGATGATGGGGATGACGATGCTGATGATGATGATGATGATGACGGTGATGCTAATGCGGTTGATGATGATGATGCTGACGATGCTAATGATTCTGATGAGGCTGAGGATGAGAGTGAGAATGATGATGAAGAAACGGAATCTGACGATGATGATGATTCTGATGATGGTGCTGCTCATGATGATGACGATGATGATGCAGCTGCTGACAATGATGATGATGATGATGCTGCTGCTGATGATGATGCCGATGACGATGACGCTGATGCTGCTGCTGATGATGATGATTCCGCTGGTGGTGATGATGATGATGAGGATGAGGCGGATGAGGATCAGGATGAGGACGGTGATGCGAATGATGACGATGACGATGATGATGATGTTGATGCTGATCCTGATGATGGTGCTGATGCTGATGATGCTGCTGCTGACGGCGATGATGATGCTGATGATGATTATGATGATGATTATGCTGATGATAATGGTGATGGATGATGATGCTGATGATGGTAATACTGCTGCTGCTGATGATGATTATGATGCTGCTGCTGGTGATGATTACAATGATGATGATGATGATGACGATGACGATGATGATGATGATGATGATGATGATGATGATGATGCAGCTGCTGATAATGACGATGATGCTGATGATGCTGCTGCTGATGACAATGCTGCTGATGATGATGAGGATGAGGATGAGGATGAGGATGATGATGATGATGATGATGATGATGATGATGATGATGATGATGATGACGATGACGATGACGATGACGATGACGATGACGATGACGATGATGATGATGATGATGATGATGATGATGATGATGATGATGATGATGACGACGATCGAGTAACGCCACGATGTACCAACGACGCTACACTAGTCCATTCCGCCCAGGGCACCCTCCTCATCTGTCCATGCACGCATTCGCCTTCACCGCGGGAAGGGCCCCCTTCGAAAGACGAGCGCCTCATGGGCCCGCATTTCAGGCGGGGGCTCCGCTTTGATGGGTGCCGCCCTCCATTCTCCGAGCTATAAGACTGTGAGGAGGAAGGAGATGCTGAGGCTGTATGGGGCTGAGCAGACTGTGGAGGTGGAGGAGGGGGGATCAGGTTGGATGAGGATGCAAGAGGGGGAGGAGGGATTGAACGGAAAAGGAGGAGGGAGGAGGATGGAGGGGGATGAGGGATGGAGAGGGGGAGGGAGGGAGGGTGTGAGGGAGGGAGGGGGGGTCGGACCAAGGCTCCGCCCATGAAGCCGGCGGCCGTTCCCGCCGAGGGCGCGGACAGGGCGGCCGCCACCGCCGCAGGCGGGGAGGAGGCGCCTCTTCCACCCTCCATTCTCCACCCTTCACCCCCCTGATCCTCCTCCTCCTCCTCCTCCTCTTCCTCCTCCTCCTCCTCCTCCTCTGCCTCATCCTCCTCCTCATCATCACCATCATCATAACCATCATCATTATCATCATCATCATCACCATCATCATCATCGTCATCATCATCACCATCATCATTATCATCATCATCCTCATCACCATTATCATCATCGTCATCATCATCAGCATCACCATCATCATCATCACCATCATCATCACCATCATTATCATCATCATCTTCATCACCATCACCACCCTCATCATCATCATCATCATCATCATCATCATCATCTTCTTCATCTTAATCTTACTCTTCATCACCATCACCATCATCAGCATCACCAGCATCATCATCAACACCAACATCATCATCATCGTCGTCGTCATCATCATCATCATCATCATCATCGTCATTGTCATTGTCATCGTCATCGTCATCGTCATCTCCTCCTCCTGTCCTGCCCTGCTTGCATGCGTGCCTCCGCCGCCCCTCCTGTCGGGTATTTGCGCCGAGGGTTGGCGGTGGTGGCCGTGTCCTCACGGCGGCGTTGGACGATCTCCCTGTGGCTGGAGGCAAGGCCCCTCCCGACGCAGCCGCTCCGCCGCGCGGCGGAGAGGATGCCGAGGAAGCGACGGGCGTCCGCAGTCGCCAGGGCGTCGCATGCGCTGGGGTTGTTTGGGGAGCTCGATACCCGCCCGAGGCCTAGTGGCGGTGCCTGCCGTCGTCCTCTGCCTCCCCCCTCGTCGGACCCGAACGCTCGGCTCGGCCCCGTCTGAATCCTGGAGAGGGCCCCTTTGGGGCCACGGCTGACCGTCGCCCTCGGGGCCCTGGGGCCCTTTGCTGTGCGGCATCCTCTCCAAGTTGAGCCCCTCTGCTGCGCGGCACCTTCTGCTAGGCAAGACCCTCCCCCAAATTAGTTCAAACATATTCCCTGGTGCCAGACATGCCTTTTGCTGTGCGACACCCTATGCTAGGCAGGACCCCTCGCCAAGTTGATTGAAACAGAGTCCTTGGTGCTAGACATGCCCCTGTGCTGTGCGGCAACCTCTGATAGGCAAGAGCCCTTCCCAAGTTGATTAACAAATAATCATTGGTGCTAGGCGTGCCCCACCTGCTGTGCGGCACATTCTGCTAGACAAGACCCCTCCCCAAGTTGATTAAACAAGAATCCTAAGAGGCTCCAAAACGGCCCCTCAGGAGGCTTCAAAACAGCTTCCAAAAGCCTGACGAGAATCCTCCCAAGAGACCCCCAAACGAACATCCAGGAGGCCTTGGGCCCGCAACCCAGCCCCATCGGGCGGCGGCGGCCGGCGGCGGCGGGGGCGGCCGACGAGAAACAGGTTTCTCGTCGGGCTCTTGGATGCTGTTTTGAAGCCTCCTGGGGGGCCGTTTTGGGGCCCCTCTTAGGGCCTCGTTTGGTCTTCTTGGGAGCCTCATGGGGCTTCCTGGGTGTATCTCGAGGCCTCCCGGGACCTTCTTGAGGCGGAATGCCCCAGGAGCCCGCAGGATGGATCCGTTGGAAGCGTGTCCTGGAGCTTCCTGCGGCTTTCTGGGGCTTCCTGGAGTCTCCTGGAGCCTCCTGGGGCCTTCCGGGGCTCCCAGGGGCTTCCTGGGACCTCCTGGTGCCTTCTGGGGCTGTCGTGGCCCCTCCCGGTGACTCCTGGAGCTGTCTTGGCCGTCTCCTGTGGCGCGAATCTTCTGTGTTAAACGTATGTGCCAATATATTGGCCTCTTCTTGTGGCACGAATCCATTGTGTTTTACGTATGTGCCTATAGATTGGCCTACTCTTTGGGCACGAATGTCTGTGTCTTACGTGCGTGCGGACATATATATATATATATATACACATTTATATATATATATATATATATATATATATATCTATATCTATATATATCGACCGTATCATGGGGCGCGAATCCTTAGCGTGTTACGTGAAGCCTAGAGATTACCTTCTCTGGGGGGCGCGAATCCTTTGTGTTTTACACATGTGCGTATAGGTTGGCCCTCTCCTGGGGCACGAGTCCTTTGTGTGTTCACGTGTATGCCTATAGATTGGCCCTTTCCAGGGGCACGAATCTTTTTTGTTTTACATATTTGCTTACAGATGTGCCCTCCCAGGGCACACGAACCCTGCGTATTTTACGTATGCGCCTATGTATTTGCCCTACCCTGGGGCACGAACCCTTCGTGCTTTACGTATGTGCCTATAGATTCGCCTTCTCCTGGAGCACGAATCCTTCGTGTCTTACGTGTGTGCATATAGATTGGCCTTCCCCTGGGGCACGAATCTTTTTGTGTTTAACGTATGTGCCAACAGATCGGCCTTCCCTTGGAACACGAATCCTCTTAGTGTTTTACGTATGTGCCTATGAATTGACCCTTTTCTAGGGCGCGAATTTTTCGTGCTTCACGTGCGTGCTGATAGAGAGGCCGTATCATGGGAGACGACTTCATAGCGTGATTGGCCCTCTCCTGGAGCACGACCGTTTTTTACGTATTTGCTTGTAGATTTGCTTTTCCCTGGGGCACGAACCCTGCGAGGCGTCATGAGCTTCACTGGGCGTCAGGGGAATCGAGGCTTCAGGCCGAAAAGAGGCTTCGCGAGCTTCACCGGGCGCCAGGGGAATAGAGACTTCAGGAGCTTCAACGGGCGCCAGGGGAATAGAGGCTTCAGGCCGAATAGAGGCTTCACGAGCTTCACCGGGCGTCAAGGGAATAGAGGCTTCAGGCCGAATAGAGGCTTCACGAGCTTCACCGGGCGCCAGGGGAATAGAGGTTTCAGGCCGAATAGAGGCTTCACGAGCTTCACCGGGCGCCAGGGGAATAGAGGCTTTTGGCCGAATAGAGGCTTCACGAGCTTCACCGGGCGTCAGGGGAATAGAGGCTTCAGGCCGAACAGAGGTTTCACGAGCTTCAACGGGCGCCACGGGAATAGAGGCTTCAGGCCGAATAGAGGCTTCACGAGCTTCACCGGGCGTCAGGGGAATAGAGACTTCAGACCGAATAGAGGCTTCACGAGCTTCAATGGGTGCCAGGGGAATAGAGACTTCAGGCCGAATAGAGGCTTACCGAGCTTCACCGGGCGTTTGGGGAATAGAGGCTTCTGGCCGAATAGAGGCTTCACGAGCTTCACCGGGCGCCAGGGGAATAGAGGTTTCAGGCCGAATAGAGGCTTCACGAGCTTCACCAGGCGCCAGGGGAATAGAGGCTTCAGGCCGAATAGAGGCTTCACGAGCTTCAATGGGCGTCAGGGGAATAGAAGCTGCAGGCCGAATAGGCGCGTCTAGGGTCGCCACCCCACCAGTGCGTCGCAATTCGTAGGCCGAATAGAGGCGTCACGCGCCGAATGCAAGTTGTAGGCCGAATAGAGGCTTCAGGCCGAATAGAGGCTTCACGAGCTTCAATGGGCGTCAACGGAATAGAGGCTTCAGGCCGAATAGAGGCGTCACGAGCTTCACCAGGCGTCAGCGGAATAGAGGCGTCACCGCAGCTCTTGAGGGAATAGCGTCTTCAAATAGCGTCTTCGGCACCAGCTCGAACGGGGACCCCCCAGGGCCAGGCCCCTGTTAATGTCTATATGACTGGATTTGTAAACATGTGGATGTATGTACATGTTCAGGTATCTGCATATGTAATGTATTTGTACGTGCATATACATACATGTATCTGTTTATATGTGTAGGTGTACGAGTATGTATGTGTTCAGATATCGGTAGAGGCACCTGCGTGTGTATATATATGACATTTTTTGCATACGTTTATAGTCACATGTACATTTACATACACGTATGCGTACGTGTGTATGTACATGTTGATGCATATGTATATGTATATGTGTATGTTTATGGATATGCAGCTGTATAACTGTATGCATTTGTGTACGTATATGTATACGCACATATATATACATATATATATATATGTTGATATACCGACCTATTCGCATACGTATACCAACCTGTATGTATATACGTATATGCAGCGACCTTCCTATATGTGAATGTAGTGTATTCATATGTTGTGTACAGTATGCAATCCATATTTACATTTATGCATATGCGTATGCACACTTGTGGATTTACATGCATATTCACACACGTACACTTATGCATTCATTGCCACACGCAGGCGCACACATACATACACATACATACATACACACACCTACATACATATATATATATATATATATATATATATATATACATATATATATACGCATACACATATACACATTTACACATACGCTTTGCAATGTAGCTGGCGTCCAGGACCCCGGGCCCAGGGGCAACGCACTTTTTCAAACCTCCCCCCACCTTCCCGCGTCAAACTTTGCCCCCTGGGGTCTGGGGGGGCTCTTATATCCTCGAGTGGCGTCCTCGGCGGCCCCCAAAGGTTTCAAGATGCCCCGCGTGGCTTCCGGACGGCCCCAGGCAGCTTCAAGACGGCCCGGATGCCTTCCCAGACGCCCAAGGACGGTTTCATGAGGACTCCCAGGGAGGGAGGGCCCTAAGATGCAAGAATCGTCCAATTCTTCAGGTCAAACATATGTTTTGCATACTTGTTTTGTGGTTTTCGCGGCGGCCAGGACGGCCAAAGATACCCCCAAGATCCCTAAGAGACCCCCAAGATCGCCCAAAAGAGGCTTCCAAGAGAGCCCCAAAACTGTTCAATAACGCCCCTATGACAGCCCAAGATGCGCCCAAGACAGCCCAAGAGCGCCCCAAGAGAGCCCCAGGAGAAACCCAGGAAGGGGAACTTGAACTGACAGTTCGAGCCCTCCGCCCCAGAAGGACCCCGATGCCACGAGGCTCCCAAGAACTACCCAAGAGGACCGAAGAGGTCCTTATCATGCCCCGAAGTGGTGATTAGAGAGCCCCGATTGGCCCCCAGGAGGTCCCAAGAGGCTTCAGAACTGTCTCCAAGAGGCTCCCCAGAGATTCCCCGAAAGACCCCAACAGGCATCCCGGGATTTTCTGGCTTGCAAGGCAGGCGCGGCGGTAGGATGGATCGAAGCCATTTGGAATGGCACGAAACGAGAGACTACCTATTTTATGGAAGCGGTTCAAGAAATTTCTCTTGCGGTCGCCACCCAATGGGCCACTCGAGAGTCATGACAGGTCTCCCAGCTGGCCCCCCAAAGACCGAGGCCCAGTGAATGATGTTCCAATGTGTTCTTCAGATACGGCCCCACGAGTCCACGAGAGCCCGACGAGGACCTCTCCCTTCTCGATCGTACTTCTTTTGTCTTGCCACCTCTCTCCTTCCTCCTTGCTCCTCCATCCTGCCTTCTTTCTTCGCCTCCCTTGATTTCTCTTTCCGCCGCCCCCTGACTAGACTCTCCTCTCATCCCTGCTGCGACCCGTATTCTTCGAGTAGGGGATCGACGACATAATTGATTTATCCCAAACTTGATTTTCAGTCGAATCTACGCACGAATGCGTAGAGCACTCTACGGAGCATTCGACGTATTTTTCGTAGACTCGACGAACAAAGCAATGCTGAGGAAACTCAATTCTGCAGTCGATCCCCTGCTCGAATTCTCGCCTCTCCCTCCTCCCCTCCTCGTTCTTCCCTCCCCTCTCGAGCCCTTCATCCGTGCCGGACCGGATTCCCCGTCTCTGTGCTATCCGAAATTCCACGTGCCCTGGGTTGTCGGGGTTCGTCGGATTTTTCTTCCGTTCGATGGCAGTGCATTGTTTTCCACTGTATTTTGAATGGTTTGGTTTTGTTTCGCAACGTATTCCTTCACATTGTTCTGCATTGTCTGGGTTTTTGCTGCGTTGCGTTCCCTTGCAGTTACTTTGCTAACTGTTCCTTGACATGCTTTGTGCTTTGTTGCGTTGCATTGGGTTGTTGTTACATCCGCTTGACATGACAATGCGTCTTGGATTTCACTGCCACTGCAAAGCAATCAAGTAGTTTCACGTCTTTGCATTGTTTTGCATTGCGTCGCGTTGAAGTTGCCTGGACATACCTCTTTCGGTATTACGCATCTGTTCGGCCCGCTCTCGTGCTCTTTCTGCAACTCATGGCGACATCATGTTAGGGTATGCGCGTGCATGCATACAGTTGTCAACGTGTCATGGGCGGGAGCTTTCTAGAATCTAGGGGCATTCTAAGCGCGTCAGGCTAGGTAACACTGGTATAGGTTTAGTGCTAGTATGTTTATTTATATTACTATCCTTCTCTTTCTTCTTCTCCCTACAACCTCCCCCATACAACCTTCTTGGGACATACTATGATTTGTATTGAGGCTGTATGTGCGTGGTTTGCGTTCGCACACCGACTCTTCTCACTTCCCCCCATTCTTTTACCCTCCCATTTGCTACGCCCCCCTTGCTTGAGCTCTTGGGCCCTTGAGCCCACGCCTCGCACGATGATGCCCGATGGTCGTCTGGTTCAGGACGCTCCACTCGTGCTGGAGTGGCGGCGCACACACTTCTGTAGCGGAATCTTGTAACGCGGAGCTGCTGTACAATCTCCTCCCCTCTTCTTCTGCCGGTCACACGGCTGCACTTCGGAGCGTCGCCTCCCACCGTCTTTCGCACCGGATTTGGTCCACTTTCTGGACCTTTTCAAAACATCTCTCTCTCTCTCTCTCTCTCTATATATATATATAAATCTGTCTCTCTCTCTATATATATATATATGGATCCCCTGATGTGGGGCCTGTCTGAGGTGAGCGTCTCGCGCTAAGTGTGGCCGCCGCCTCTTCTTGCCCGTTTTTCTTGGACCTGCATCTCGGGAGGCAGGCCGCCGCCGCCGTCGCCGCCGCCGTCTCCGTGGTCGTGGTCGTCGCGGGTCGTCAGGGTCGTCGTGGATGGTCGTGGCCGTGGTCGTGGTCGTGATCGCTGTCGTGGCCTTCGTCGTGGCCGTGGTCCTGGTTGTCGTGGTCGTGGTCGTCGTCTTGGGCCCTCCCCTGCCCCTCCCGCGGGGGGGCGCCAAGTCGCCAGAGGCTCACGTCCGCCGCAAGGCGCCGACGTCGCTGATGCCCAGCAGCCTCCGGCAGAGGCCGCCCAGCGGCCGCCCCATGCCGCGGCCGCCCAGGTCGGAGGAGGGGGGGAGGAGGGAGGGGGGAGGGAGGGAAGGGCGGGAGGGAGGGAAGGGAGGAGGGAGGGAGGGAAGGAAGGGAGGGAGGGAGGGACGAGGGAGGGAAGGAGGTGGGAGGGGGGTGGAGGAGGTCGTAGTCATCCAAGGGCGGTACATGGCCGAGTTCAGCGTATACTCGACAGCAACTGAAGGTCGAGCTCTTGTGTCCGAGAGTGCAAGGTGTGACGGAAGCGCAAGACGTGAGACGAGCTCAACGAAGAAGAGGGCGCCATCCCTCGTGGTCCGCGGCCTCGAGCAGGCCAGCCCTGGCCCCTCCAGGTGTTCGCTTTCTTATTCGTTGTTTTGCTGATCGGTGCGGGCCCTCGGCCCCGCCCCCCCCTGGAGTGACTCTTGGCTGTTTCTTGGCGCCTGCTTCGAGCAGCTGGAGCCTCCCCCACAGGACGCACTGCTGCAAGCAGTCGCACTTAGCAGAGCTTCGGAGCCAGACCCCCCCCCATCCGCCCAATGTCGAAACGCCGAATCGGAAAACGCTCACCAGGGCTGCTGGGGGGGGCGGGGGGGGGGGGTAGGGTTAAGTCGGGCTTTCCCTTTACAGGAGAAATAATCCCAAATAGTCAAACAATAGTCTGGGGAAGATTCTTCTACTATTTTTGGCTATTTTTGATTATCTTTGTCAGTATTTTTAATGGTTCGTCCAAAATCCGCCTGTAGGAGGACGCCCGACCTGAGGGTAGGGGGGGAATCATGGGCGCAACGAGGGGAAGGATAACCGAGGTCCCAGTCAGGCTCCTCCAGGATACGCTCTAGAATGACCTGGTCCTCGAGGGCCTCAGTGGCCGGGTGCACTTCTGGGACGCTGTCGGGAGGACAGTGTCCAGAAGGCGATTGTGGATGGTCGGTGCTCGGAAAGAGAGAACACACGTCGGGGCCCTGCCATGGACCTTCAACTCGGCCTGGGGGTCCTGATGTTTACATTTGTCGAACACGGAGGTCCTGCAGTGAGGCCCATCGCCGATGGCGACGAGAGGCCCCATCGAAAAGCAGTGGGGGCCCTGGAGGTCCAAGTGGCTGGGGCTGGGCGTTCCATCCAAGCCCCCGTTCCCACCCGCAAGTGTTCGGCCATCAGGCGAACCAACGCAAACAAAACTGTTCCAACTCCTGTCTAGTCGAAGCCCATGGAGCTCCCCAGATAAGCTCAGAAGACCAGACCGGGGGGACCTCCCTCATGCCACCTGGAAGCAGACCTGGTTTCACAGGGAGGCCCCCCCCCCCAGTGTTGATATCCCGATGCGCACGAGAGTGCTCAGCCCATTCCAGAATCGACCCTTCACGGGTGAGATCCCCCCCGAACGGCATTGACGGCGACGCCAAAATTTGCTAAGCACCACATTTCCACTTAGCTGGTGGCCATCTGCGACTCCAGCTGGTTCTGCAAGTCTCCAGATCTTTTCTCTGTCAGTATAGAGACGCAGCACAAACAACGTAGGCTTCTTGATTTCGCAAGAGAGGAGCCTCACCAGCAATCTCTTCAACACCGCCAATCCGAAAGGGGAAGAAGGGCGTCAGGTGCTCAACAGGACGAAGCACTGATGGCGCGGCAAAATTCCCAAGTCAACGGGCACAGCGTCGGGATCAATAGCATCAGAACGGCCTCCTGAGCTTTCTCCTCCGGAAGACAGTTAGTCATGTCTTGATGCCAGGGGGAAGGACTCTCTGCTGCCTCGAAGCTTGGATCATAGCTCGCCACTTCCCTTGCCGGCTTGATTCTGCGCGCGACGGCGAACAAGTTCACTTGACTTTAGTTCTTCAGCTGCAGCAGCAAAGGTACCATCACCGGTGGCAATCGGATCAGTCAGGAACGACCCCAAAACACACTTAAGAGTGTTAAAGGACAGATGGTTGGTCAAAACCACACGGCTACTGAACTGCATGAAGCACGTCGGGCAAGTCAACGAGGGCAACAAGGAACACCGAATCTGACCGATGCGAGCTCCATGAACCCGAATGATGTGAGACCGAACATGCATTTAAGCAATGCGAGTCGGGTGATCAGGTTCTTTTATGGCGAAGGGGAGCCCCGAGTCCCTGAGCACATGCAAGATGGCCTGCTCCGCAATCAGCCGTGAGCGCAAGGCGCAAAGCATGCCGAGCATTCGAGGCCAACGCCTCCCTGATGCATGCTTTCCGGGCAATCGCAGAATGCTTGGTAGTCTCCTCCCACGCCTGCAGATCTTCGATGGGGTCGGGCAAGGAGTGGAGCGAGGGTTGGAAAGGCGAGCCCGCTTCAAATCTTCGACCATCTGATGATTCCAAGACCGTTGACATTAATGCCGGCAAGCAGCGGCGAGAGCCAATCAATGTGGATGACCAGTATGCAATAACCTACCAAAGAGCTTGAGACGATGTGCACTGGTGAGGGCAGAAGTAGGCGCCTGGCGCGCCGCTGGAAGCACTGTCTGAGCATCTGCAGCACTGGCACCCTTACGCGGGAGCTTCGTGACAGTCCTGAAGAATTTGCTAGCCTCATCATCCGACGCCCGAGGCCGAGCATCCGAGAGATACCTCCAACTCCCAGACTGAAGCATCTTGTCAGAGCACACCAAGGAATCCAAGAGAACCCTATCGGCCGACTGATCGATAACGGGCTGGCGGAGGACGCGAGAGCTGAGCACCTTCCTCGCCTCAGCACAGGACTTGTGAGTGGACGTGCTGATGCACTGCCCGAACCTCCACAGTACTCGCGTTGGTTGTGAGAACCTGAATGGTGCCTTGGAGATCTCCTTGCAGTCGTCTCCAAGTCTTCTGGGCACCGGGCCCCCGCGACTGAAAGTTTATGGTGGTCTTGCCAACCTGTGTGTTGAGGCGGAAGCCGCCCGCGACGAAAGCCTGGGCGACTTCGGCCACTAGGATCGGGGCAAAGTGCAGTGACAGCTCTGCCCCGCCCAGAAGAATAAATCAGCATCATCGAAAACGGCCCCGCTCGTGCAGAAAGACAGGCTCACGGGCTCTACGTGCTCCGCGAAGGCGGCCTGGGGCGCGTGGGCAGTCGACGAGTCCCAGAGTGCAATGCCCGGCGGCAGCAATGCCACCTGCGCCCAGAAGGCCCGTGGGATTTTGAAATCCTCCCTGGGCCTGGCGTCGGCAACTTCCGCCGCCGAGCTCGCGGCGTGGCGGCTGGCGTCGAGCTTGGCGCTGCGATTGGCCAGAGCAGTGAATCACTCCAGACCAGGACTCCTCAGGCAGGCGCAGATATGCAAAAACCCACCGCCATATTCCCCAGAGTTGCACGGCCCGGGAAGAGCGTCGATTCCCGAGACAGCCGAGAGAGACCGACCCTGCATTGTCCAGGAAGTCCGCGCAGCCCCGGCGAAAGGCACCGGCGCGCCCGGGAACCTGGGAGGAGAGACCCGCGGGCGTATTTTAGTGCGATGGAGCCTGAAACCAAGCGCGTCGTCGAATGCTTCAGAGATGGCCTGAACAGAGGACCTGAGTTGCACTCGAGCGGAGATGGTGGAACCAACCGTGGTGGATGCGTCGAGGCCTCTGCCGAAATCGGCGGCGACGGCCTGCGCGCGCGCAAATCCAAGCCCCTCTATGCGGAGCAGCCCAGGCATTAACGGGCACTGCCAACCGAAGCCGACGACACCGAACGGCAAGACGACGAAAGCCTTGGACGTGCTCGATCCTGGCGCTGATGGCTTCCAGAGACCGACAGGGCACCGAAGGCTGTCTGGCCTTGTGACTCCGATCGGATTGACAAACAGGAAACACAGCTTCGAGCGATGATCGAAGATGATCCGACATCACCTGGCAGTGTTCCAAGGTTGGCATGTCGAGTGGCACGGCCGGCGCCTCCATCAACAGGAATTGAAATCGAGCGTGAGCCGCCGCGCCTTGAAACGTGTCAGCGTCGCTCTGTAATTTGCGCGTGCCACGCGGGCGGCGGCCTTGCTTCGGGCGGGGGTGCTAGCCGAAATGCCCGCTGGAACATGGTTCAGAATCGAGATAGACAGATCCACCACGTCCTGTATTTCTCGCCGCTTGACCTGAACACTGGGGGAACATGCGGCATAATATATGTGATGGCCAGGGCTGTCAGATTTGCCTGGTGGGAACCGTGTGCTCGCGGAGAACCTGACCGTGACCCGGGAAGGTAGGCGGCGCCCAAAGGACCGGGGCCCTCAATGCAATAATTCGGGGAAGCACTCGCCAGGGGCATTTTCTGCGCGGCGGCAGCCGTGTCGCCGGCGTGCTGAGGCGCGTGCCTCGGGCCCAAGACGGGCGCGCGCATCCAGGAGACAGACCAGCTCAGCATCGGGTGAACGACGCGTGGGATGAGACCATTGGTATGCTGCCGCCAGATCTGCAGGTCAAAATCTTCGGCCTTGCCGTGCGGCGCGCGGCCCGCGACCGCGTCTGGCCGGAGGAACTCGGAGGCGATCGCCGCGATGAGCAGACGAGGCTCAGCAGAAAGAGCTCTGCAGCGTTGAGCGCCCACCTCGGTGCCGGGTAGGGCAGCGCGAGACGTGTCCGCCCGCGGAGAGCGCCCGTGCACCCCATCTTTCGTGAATTCCGCACGGATTACATGATGGGGGCCAGTCGCGGAGGCCCCCGATGGGGGGCGTCTCCACGGCCCCGGCCGCGCACGGCTCCCGCTTCTGAGGCATTTTTCCGAATATGCCGCGTGCGCCCAAACGTCGATGACCGCGTGATCCGTCTAGCTTTAGCGCGAGCGGACGCCTGAGATCCAGAGCGGGTTCGTCCAGGGAGCAGCCCCCCGCAGTATCGACGAACGCGCTTTGCCTACTGCTGCGCGCGGCCCCAAGAGAGAGACTGCGTACTGCCGGCGGGATCAGTGTCAGGGCGGTGCTGAAGCATGGGCTGGCCGCCGCGAGGAGGAACCTCGGCCTCGACGTCGGGGGGCCCGAATTCCCACCGCGCCCAACTCAAAGTAGTAGGTT